CCTGGCGAAATCAATGGCCTGCAACTTTTTTGACATATGGTTCTTGTATGGTCCCTTTCTCTTATGGGATTAAATTGCAAGGAATTTGATGTTCAGAAATGTTGCTTGAGTTTATAGATTTTTGCGCATGTAATAAAATTCGTATGAATTTGGTTCATGTGAATGATTCCAATGGGCTATTTTTGCGCAAATAAGCTCATGTGAAGCAACTGAGCATTTGCAATTCTAGCTATGAATTACAAACTTCATTTCTAAACGTTGCACTTATGAAAAGGCTGTTAATTGAGAGGTCATACAAATCGATGGGGCTTGACAATTAAACATTGGAATGAGTTGAAACCTACCTAGGAAAATGATTTTTGCAGTTAACGGTTATTATCTTATGCAGGTGGTTTTCCTCACTTTGTGCATAAAATCATCCATAATCTGCATACTCAACAGCCGACTAGTGATACAAGAGCCTTCCCAAGAGTTCGTTAGATCGATAGTGCATGAAAATTTGTTTCGATCTTATATATTTTTGGCTGAATGCTTTACCACTCACTAATGACCAAATATTTGGGGAATTTTCAGTATTACTAGGTGGCTATCTTTGATTGGAGTTTAGGAAGGTAGTAGAGGTTGATCAATGACTAGGCAAGATGAAGCTTAACACAAACAACTTATGTTCTTGACCTTCAATTTTACATCTTTTTGTATGGGCTGAATTTATGGGTTGTATCTGTGGCCAAGTATTTATTTACTGTGATCCATACAAGTCCCAATTTGGGCCTATAGAATTTCTTTTTTTTTTTTGTTGGGTGCTGGGCTAGAGAATTTCTGGCCTCCAGCATAGTCCACATAATAATTAAATTTTTGGGTGGGTTTCTAATAAGATTATATCTTTTTTTGGAAGTTACCAATAAGATTATATCAAGGCAATTGTTTTAGGGAAATGATACGTGACACTTATATTCCATATATTCTACATAGAATCAGGGTGGACCCAGAAAATTATTCTAGGGTGGGCACTATATATTTAATTATATCCTATTTAATTCTTAAAAGTTCATTAAACTTAAAAAACTAAAATTGTCAAACATAGTAGACACAAATGACAAAAAAAAAAAGGTTAATTATATCCTTTTACCAAATAAAGGATAATCAAAACTATTTATAATTGACTCCGATGAATTTTTATACGTTGAAAGTCTTGTATTAACTTTATTATTATTTATATCTACAATCAGATTATGACTTAGTTATTTATCATTCATTCGATTACAATAAAACATATTTTCTATCATGTCGGTAATAATTATTAAAATAAATGTCAAAATTATAAGTAAACTCATGTATATATCATGTCTTTTCTGGTTTTGGCTAAAAAATAAGGTGGGCACAATTTAATATATTGAAAAAATACTTAAAATATATATAAGTAATTTTAGAAAAAAAAAAAAATTTTGAGGGTGGGCATGCGCCCCCCATGGGCATAAGGTGGCTCTGCCCCTGCTTAAAGTGGTATACGTTCGTTGCACGCGTGCCTTAACTAGTTATTATATATGTTTAGAACATTAAACCTATCACATTTTTTTGTGATATGATTTATATAATTATGCAACCTGGCTAAACTCACTAAAGAGTTTATTAAATTTTGTTTAACAAATTACTATGAATTATTAAATCAATGGATTTCATTAATTTTTATTGAGATCCAACAATTTAATAATTTATATTTATTTGATACATAAAATTTAAAAAGTCATTATTTGATAAACGATTTGGTATATATCATTATTGATAATAATGATTCTGAATATTACCAACAAGTCTTTTTTTATTATTATTATTAGTAGTATGCACACATGATATAACAAGTTTACTTGGTTCACAAGATATCCATAATGAGGACTATCCAATGCAGGTGACAAGATAACGGTTTAAAAACTAAAAATTTAAACTCAAAAAGTAATTAATGAAACCAAAAAGAAATTGCATTCAATCTTCGAAGTTTTACCCAAAAAATAGTATAAATATCCAAAATAATAATGAGTAATAAAATATTAAATTTTTATTCAATACCACAGCAAGACCAGTACTATATTGTCAATAGATCTAAATTTGGGTGTCGTCTATAAAAAAAATGATATTTTAGAATAGGACTAAGCCCGTGGACATCAAGAAAATAGGTCTAGCGATTTGTTTTTCTTTTTTTGGAGAGCATTTATGAAAGTGAAATATATTTTGGCATGGTGGTTTTTTTACAAGCACGTTGGCACGTTGGTCAAACAATTATACACAAGATTCGTAAATTCAAAATGAAATTAATATAGAATTAACAATTTGATTTAGTATCAACAGGTTAGGACAGACCGTTAAATTAAAAAAAAGTTGATTTATATATAGCTTCACTAAACACAAAATAACTCCGCTAAATATGATTTATAAAAAGCACAATAATTCTAGCTCTTGATTGTAGATATCGAATGGACGGATCATCAACTCTATCAAAAGAGGTACAGATATAGCCGAAACCCACATGAGGCATAAACCCATTCTGCCACAACCTCCACTGCTCCTTGGATTCATCTCTTGGGTCATCTTCTAGTAGCTTTAATTCAAGTGGTAAATATAGATTGGCTATGAAGGCTTCTAAAAACGTTAAAACAGCTCCATATTAAATATTATCCATAGCTAGAGAGAGCTCCCAATATTCCACCTAAACTTGAAGCTTAGCAGTTCAAGATTTGCATAGATTTCTATTTATTCAAGCTTATGGTGGCAATGATCATTGTTCTTCACGTCATTAATACTTAAAATATATTCCAATGTTAATACTTTATTAAGTAATACGTCAGTTCTACTAGTTATAAATAGTTTATCTCGTGTAAATAATTTATTGGTTTAATCTATTATAATTATTGAATTAATAACGAGTTTCATCTAATTATAAATCCAATGAATGATTAGATCAGCAAATGATGTGATATATCAAACACTATGCCTACATGCCCCAAATCAGGCCAGAGTGGATGGTGTCAAATGAGTTCCTTCTATCAATGGCAAGTTCTCTACTGCATCTACATGGGAAGTCATTAGGAACCCAACCGTAAAAGTGCCTTGGTTAAACCTGATTTAGTTCACACAGGCAGTGCCCAGAATGAGTTTCATACTGTGGTTCGCTGTTAATGAGAGACTCAATACTAAGGATAGTCGTTTTAATCCTAACGTGGGGGCGAATTGCATTCTTTGCAGAGGGGCTGTTGACTCCCATGCCAACATTTTCTTTGAGTGCATCTATTCTCAGAGTATATGACATCATCCTCAGAACATGCTTCCCCAACCTTGCCAACCCATGACATGGCTGATGTTCATTGCCTGAGCTGCTCAACAATGGAAAGGCAAATCTTTATTAACAGTGCTGCAGAAGTTAAGCACCAGGTCACAATTTACTACCTATGGAGAGAAAGAAACAACAGATTGTTTAGGAATGAATTTAAGGATTCTGAATCAACTTTGCGCAGCATTTTACAAACTATCAAGGATAGAATGGTTTCCTTAAAGTTTAGGAACTCCTATCATAACCAACTAGTGCACAACAATGGCAATTACCAACCTATTGTCTTAACCCATGTAGTTCTTCTGAATGTGTTCNACGTCATTAATACTTAAAATATATTCCAATGTTAATACTTTATTCAGTAATACGTCAGTTCTACTAGTTATAAATAGTTTATCTCGTGTAAATAATTTATTGGTTTAATCTATTACAATTATTGAATTTGGAACGAGTTTCATCTAATTATAAATCCAATGAATGATTAGATCAGCAAATGATGTGATATATCAAACAATATGCCTACATGCCCCAGATCAGGCCAGAGTGGACGGTGTCAAATGAGTTCCTTCTATCAATGGCAAGTTCTCTACTGCATCTACATGGGAAGTCATTAGGAACCCAACCGTAAAAGTGCCTTGGTTAAACCTGATTTAGTTCACACAGGCAGTGCCCAGAATGAGTTTCATACTGTGGTTCGCTGTTAATGAGAGACTCAATACTAAGGATAGTCGTTTTAATCCTAACGTGGGGGCGAATTGCATTCTTTGCAGAGGGGCTGTTGACTCCCATGCCAACATTTTCTTTGAGTGCATCTATTCTCAGAGTATATGACATCATCCTCAGAACATGCTTCCCCAACCTTGCCAACCCATGACATGGCTGATGTTTATTGCCTGAGCTGCTCAACAATGGAAAGGCAAATCTTTATTAACAGTGCTGCAGAAGTTAAGCACCAGGTCACAATTTACTACCTATGGAGAGAAAGAAACAACAGATTGTTTAGGAATGAATTTAAGGATTCTGAATCAACTTTGCGCAGCATTTTACAAACTATCAAGGATAGAATGGTTTCCTTAAAGTTTAGGAACTCCTATCATAACCAACTAGTGCACAACAATGGCAATTACCAACCTATTGTCTTAACCCATGTAGTTCTTCTGAATGTGTTCGACCTCCTGGTTTATGCAGTTTTTTTTTTTTTTGTGTTTTCTCCAAATCTTATGAGTGAGGATTCTACTGAAAGTTCTAGCTCAAGGCCAGCACTTCCCTTAGAATTCCATGTTCTGTTGTGCTCTGTTTTTGTTATGGGAGTGGCATTCTGTCATGTAAGCTACATCATTTCTCTTGTATATTTTCTATGAGTGAATACAGTTTATATTCCGGAAAAACAAAACATTGGTCAAACAAAAATTGAGGCACAATCCAAAATTCGAACAAAAATCCATACATCTATAAGTTTCACCTTTCCCCCCAGAAACACATACAACAACTAGTCTCTGGAATTTGACTTAAATCTACATAACACCCAAATGTTTACTCATGAAAAATGGAAAATTCTTCCTTATTTTTTATATCCATACATGCACCACCCAATCACAGTTTATAGTGTTTCCCAAACAATAAACTGTCCATGGATTCCCAGGCCCCCCTGCACAACATATTGATTCCCATTTCCTACCCGATAAACCCTTAGCAACTCACCCGGTCGAAGACGCTTGGCAAAAGCGTGCCATTCGCGTGTCAGAGAACGCCTACCATCAGCCCTCACTGATGCTATGAATTCATATGTGTTTCCATCTCGGTCAGTTACAAGCATGATCCCATTTCCATCCGGCAAAAAACGTGCCCCCTTGGGTATTTCCAGATTGCGATCGACATCCGTATCAGAGAGCCATTTGTCAAAGCACAGATATTGGGGCTCCATTTCTACCAAACCCTGAAGAACAGAAGAATCAACTTTCCTCGAGAATTAGGTCTATTTCTTTGAGAAAGTAATAGTTGTTGTAGTAGTAATTCCACTACAACAACAATGATAAGTTTTTATCACAGTGAGAGAGAGAGTGAGAGAGAGAGAGAGAGAGAGAGAGAGAGAGTGAGAGTGAGATCACTCCTGGACAGACATTCTGAGTGCTAGAGAGGGACCTCCTGAACTGATGTTGAGGCTTCTAAGTTCTAACACGAAGATGGATACAGTGGGAGTGAGATGAGAATATGAATGGGTGGCTTACTACTTCAAAGTTATTTTGTAAGAGAGAGAGAGAGAGACAGATGCGAATCTCTTGAGTCTTGATGACTGCCAAATAGAAGTTACTGCCGATTATTAAACTAAAAGACAGAAGGCAGTTTGAGCTTGCCCACCAGCAATGTCAAGACGTTGGATTCACCCAACTTGTTTGGGATACAAATGAAGCTGAAAGAATATTATGAAGTCCAATTTGTATTCTGAATTTGTCCAATTAGAAAGTCTTCAATCTGAATTTGTCTCTCTTGAACTTTTGACAGTCAGAGAGTTGATATATTTTTATATATAGAGAGAGAGAGAAAGAGATGAATATGAGAGAAGAGAATTGTTGATAAGCCTACGTCGATGAGAGAGAGAGAGAATTGACTATGAGTGAAGACAGTTGGTGACAAGCCTACGTGGATATCTAATGCCAACACCCCCCCCCAAAAAAAAAAGAAAACCCAAACCCACCCACCAAAGTTTTTTCAAGTTTTTAAGATTTAGGTCGAATGAAAGAGAGCTCCAAGACCTAGATTGCGAGTCTTATTTTAATCATCGAGTCCTCCCTTGTGGCTGGGATTTCTTGTTAAATAATAAGCTACGCCTACCAAAATACATGGTCTATTGGGTAGGCATTCCATCGTTGTACTAGTCCAGAACAGAATTAGATGTGACAGATGATAATATTAATCTTAAGATCCAATAACCCTTAATTACAAACATATCAAGCACCTGGCATTGCACCTTGCAACTCTCACCCCATAGACCCAAGGCATACATGCATTATCTGGACTGTTGGCTTGTTTTTAAGTAGCCGGCTGAGAGTTGAAGTGAAAACACCTTGTTTGAAATCTAGACACCTTCTAAAGGTGCCTTGTTACAATGGCCTCGTTGATCAAGGCCCGATAAGGAGCTGGAAGTCATTTTAGGTCCAAGTCAAATGTGGCTGATATCCTATGAAGGCAAACAAATCAGAAGAAGATGAAACAAGAAAGATGGAAGAAGATTTCGAAGCCAACGACAAAACTAAAACATATCTATTCTTCTATCTTAAAATCCGTAGCAGCTACTGTCCACCCATTTTAAATGAAGAGCTATTAGTCACATCAAAAAAGTAGCACTATTCTCACAAATTGAAAGGAGTTTTTTCAATTGATTTTATCAAAATTGTCGTCCTAAACTTGATTAAATGATTCACAAACTCTATAATCTTGATTTGTCTCTATAGAACATTTTTACAGTGAGAGATTGGTTTTGGCTTTTGAGAGACAAAACCTCTAAAGAGAGAGAAAAAGAGATATGTCTATGGAGAGAAGAGAGAGAAATAGAGAAGAAACCTAATTTGTTGATTTCATTAATGAAGTGAAAATGACATCGTTCAATAATGTTATTGTAACAATTGAACTTTCTCATTAATAATTTATCACTTTGACATATTATTATTTTAGCAAATTAAATCAACTTTTAAGATTTCAATAACATCACTCAAAGCAAATTCACAACGTGCATGGAATCCTAAACTGCCATGCAAGCGCTTTCAACATGGATTAAAAGAGCAATGCTATTGAGACATAATTTATGAACATAATTTGAGGACATATTAAGTTGTCACCAATGAAATGATGGTGAATTCATTTAATGCTACAATGAGACTCATCATTAAATATATTTTATTATCATTTTATTGGTGACAATTCATTATGTCCATAAATTATGTCCCAATAATATTAGTGGGTTTAAAAAATCTTGGAGACAGTTATGTATGATTTGTTGGGATTTCTCACGATTTAAATCTACTAACAAACACACACAATCGAAGAACAAATCAAAAATATAAAGCAATAAGAAACAAGAAAGAACAAGACACAGATTTTACGTGGTTCGGCAATTTGCCTACGTCCACGAAGCTGCAGGGATTTCACTATTGAGAGAGTTGAATACAGAGAGCGGCTGTACATCCACAATTAACCCTAATCACCAAAACAACAGGGTTTATATGTCCTACGCACTGGGCTGTATAACGGGCCCAAAAAAATTTTCCTCNTATATTAAGTTGTCACCAATGAAATGATGGTGAATTCATTTAATGCTACAATGAGACTCATCATTAAATATATTTTACTATCATTTTATTGGTGATAACTCATTATGTCCATAAATTATGTCCCAATAATATTAGTGGGTTTAAAAAACCTTGGAGACAGTTATGTATGATTATTGAAAGATATATATTTATTAGTATTGGTTAGGGCTATATGACGCAATACAAAACAAAATCAATGATGTTGCAATGATGCACAACACCCAAAGAAATGGAAACTATAACCTTCTTTTGAATGTTATTAATTTCTTATAGTGATGGGTTTTGGCTTATTATATTCATTGCCTTAAACTTGGTGTCCACGCATTATATATCCAAATCCCATTCATAAGTCGGCAAATGATCTGAGCATTATGGGTTACTTTAGATGGCCAAGCTCCACGACCCAACTTATGTAGAGGTCTGAGTTGTAAATCTTGCCGCATATTCAGTATGCAAGTAGTGGGAATCATATTAATGGGACTTTGGTCCAATGGTACTCTTTATCTTATATAGATTTTGTCTTTTTGAGATAAGTCCCCTTCCCCCTCCTCCTCTCAAAAAAAAAAAATTAAAAAAAAAAGTAGTGGGAATCAAAGCTAATTTCTATTATGTATATAACCCCAAATTCAATCCCTACAAATCGTTAGTGATTCACATTTATTTTTTTCCCTTAAAAATAGGCCCAACCCATCAACGTATACCAAAAAACAAAAACTTGATACTGATGTGATTTTAGGTATGAGCCATCATATTCAAAGAGCTTAATAAGTCCAAGAGACCCTTACTTGTGTAGTGGCCCAAATGGGGCTCCCATAGCCTGTCCATGCCAAGAGTAGAGTGGACCGAGCCCAAAGGGTAAGGCCCAACAGTACCAGAGGACCTGAACTCCAGCCCAACCCCAATACAACTCAGTCGAAGGATAAAGGAGCTTAGTCCATTGCCTATCCTGAAGCATTCCCGCCATGTCATGTGTCTTGAGGGCAAGGGGACCAGTTCTGACACCTATAACGAACACACACTCTTTGGTATAGAGAGTGTTGGTGCGCATAACCGTTCGGAAATCGTGGGTACAGTGGCATCGTGTGACAGAGGTCGCTACAAGACAAAAGTAGAAGGGCCCACAAAATCAATAGAAATGAGGAATGAGCCGCAGGAAACTCTATTAGGATCACTTGAATAAATATGATACTATTACACCACAGTAGATACGAACATCTTCTTCCCCACTACCTGCTTTGCTATCTACACTGTTAGGCTTGTAATCTCCAAGCATTCTTTGAAAAAGGCCATAAGCCAAGGGAACTATTGTACTAATTCTCTTCGAGCAATATACACCCCTTAAGGAGCAAGAGATTCCAGTACAATAGATTTAGCATTGGTTTTTCAACTAAGGTGAACCACTTACATTTTGTTCTATTTTTCTATCGTCATTTTACCCATTTCTAGTCCATACATTTTTTCTACACCCCTCTGGACCATCTGATTGAGGTTCTGGACTTGGATCAACATTTTTGAACACCATCAAAACTTATGATCAAATTAAGTGTGTCAATCGTGTCGAATTAAATGAATTTGTGTCAGTCTAATCAAATTCATAAAAAAAATTCATTCAACCTGTTTATTAAACAAATTATAAGATGTGTACATAGATGTCCTCGACATATTAAATTAGAGGGCCCAATATCGAAGACCTTTTGGATGGTCCATGACCTTATTTCTCATATTCTGAGTGGCAACCCTTGAAAAGCCTAAAGGGCTGGGCTAATATTAGGCAGCCATGGCCAGAGGATTCGCTGGCCTGTACTTGGGCCAATATTTTCCAATCTCAAGTACCTCAATGTTAACTAGATTAACATATGATATCATAATTCTATAATACACTACTACATGAGCATAGCCACGATATATCATCATTGTTGCATCAAAATCCATCATTGTTTTAAGAGTAAATAAAATATTTCAATTAAATTATACCACTTGTTTCAATTAAACCTCTAAACTAATTTTTGTATCAATTAAAGTCCCTCAACTATGCAATTTAACTCAATATTCCTCTTTTGTCCATATTTGTATGTTAGTTTAGCAGAAAAGGTTAAATTTGTTGCTCTCAAGACATAATAGAGACATTTTACAGGAAATTTTTCTCTTCTTAGTGCGAAAACTTTCTTCTCTTACATCTCTATTTAAAACCCGCATAAAAACCAAATTTTGCATTGTTTTGGGCTTTTCCAAACTTTTCATTAACACGCAAACAATGGAGCACGGATACTGTGTTTTCTCTAGAGTTGCAAATTAGACAAGTTAAAAGGTCAATCCAAGCCCAACATAAAACTCTCAACTCAAGCTCAACCCAAACTTGACTTCATCCCAAAACACTTCAACTCGGGTATTAACCTCTCGAGTTCAGGTTGAACTCGAGTTTAATTCGAGTTGATCGCAAGTTATTAAATCGGGATCAATTTTTGGACTAAATTCGAGTTTCTGTATGTTAACACCTTTAACTTTTTTATTAAACTCACGTCTAATGAAAACCAAGCTCACTAAAGACAAATATTACATGGAGTTTGCCTTCTTTATACACAAAAAGGGAATAAAAACATCTTGATGAGTGTAAATAAACACATAATATTTTATTGTGCGGCCTTTTATATATATATTTTTTTTGGGTCTTTTAGAGGCCGGTCTCTTTTTGTAGACTTATTTGAACTTAAGTCTACTTAAAAAGTTTGATTGGGAATAAGTCTATTTTTGATTTCCATCGTTCAAAATACCTTTAATAGTTATATTTAATCAAAATTTATTTAAAAAAACTAACAACTCCTCATTGGGAATTGTATTTATATTAACAACTCCTAACTTAGAAATTATGATAGTATTAAAATTATTTTTCTATCATATCTATCTATCTATTTATCTATATATATAGTAACATTAAACAGTAACATGCTAAACAAAAATAATAATAATATCAAACAACAATATACTCAAAAAAAAATTAATAATATCAAACAGTACGATGCTCAACAAAAAAATTTAATTAAAAATTTANCATACTCAAAAAAAAAATAATAATATCAAACAGTACGATGCTCAACAAAAAAATTTAATTAAAAATTTAATCTTTGCAATAAAGTGATACCATACACCGAATATATTTTGTTGTGGGTAAGACAATAGTTTTAAATATTCACATAGAGTGTTGCTCTGTTGCAACGATTAAATTTTTAGTTAAGTTTTTTATTGAGTATATTACTGTTTGGTGTTATTATTTTTTTATTGAGCATGTCACAATTTGATTTTATATATATATAATAATTTTAATGTTGTCACAATTCTCAAGTTAGGAGTTGTTATACTTGAAATAACAATGTTATTGGAACCTAATTTACTAATATAATTTATTGACCTAATTTACTGTGACATTTAGTTTCATTGTAGACCTCATCAAACATTATAACTTAGTTTTGATCTAATATTTTTTAAGAAGTCACATAATTATGTCATCAAACTAGGTCATATTTTTAGTTTCAAATAGTATTACTCTATTTGAAAACATTGAAACTACAAAATAGACAATATTTACGATAGGAGTAATTAAGTAATACAAAAAAAAAATAGAATTTGAAATATGTAGTTAATGACAATAATTTAATGAAAAAAAAAAGACTTAATGGAGTATAAATTTAGTTGTGATACTTAAAGTCAAATAAATTTTTAAAAAAATACTCACAACCAAATATCCATTATTTTTTTAATGTTTAAATAAAAATTTGGGTTAAATTCAAATTGAAATTTGGTCTAGGCTTAAGTTGAATCTGTAAACCCAAAACCTCAACTTGAACTTAACACAAATTTAATTCCACTTGAGGATTTTTGGCACAAGTACAACCCAAGTTTTAAAAAATTCTACCCAAACATTAAAATTTTTTTCGGGTTGTGTTCGAATTAAGTTCGGGTTAATCCGCCCAAATTGCACTCCTAATTTTTCCCTAGGCTCCGTTTGGTTAAAAAAAAATTGATGATAGAAAGTAAAAACGGTAGAAANTTCCCTAGGCTCGGTTTGGTTAAAAAAAATTGATGATAGAAAGTAAAAACGGTAGAAAGTAAAGTAAAAGAAAATAAATTGAAAAAAAAAATTATTTTCTTGCATGCATTTTGATTAGAATGAAAAGTTTGTTAGAAAAATAAAAAAAAAATTATGTAAATACTAAATTATCTGTATCATTTCAATATAACAAAAGTATAAGTTAGACAAATTTTAACACAATACTGCCTAAACATAACACGAATAATATTCATTTACAACTCTAGTTCAATTAATTAAAAAAAAAGTAACATTTGTAACCAATATATCAGATTCTTTTTATTTGTTGTAAGAAAAATATCTAAATTCTCCTCACTTCTGTTGATAAAATAGGTACACTAATGCTATTGGAACATAATTTTGAGATATAATTTAGGGATATAATTTTGTGACATAATTTATGGACATAATGAATTGTCATCAATGAAATGATAATGAATGAGTTGTCACCAATGAACTGATAGTGAAATGTATTTAATGATGGGTCTCATTAAAGCATTAAATGAATTCATTATCATATTATTGGTGACAACTCATTATGTCTCCAAATTATGTCCTAATAGCATTGCTCAAATTGGTAACATGCAAAGTGAGCAAAACAAGGAACAAGATAAGTTTTCCATAAAAATAATAATAATAATAATAATAATTTGTGAGAAATGTAAGCGGCTGTTTGCAAGAAAATTTGGATATTGCTAAAAGAAAAAAAAAAAAAAACCTTTCTCAAGAAATCATATTTTCAAGGTAATCAAACGCATAAAAAAAAATAAAAATTCCTGCACTTTCTCGCACTTACTTGCTAAACAAACAGAGCCCCAGTAATTCTCTTATTTTCTTTGTTCCTTTCTACTTCTGTGCGTTATGTATTAATTTTCCTTGGGACCAGCATTGGGGTCAAACCAAGACCTGGACAGCCCACCAAGTTTTAGGGTTGGGTGAAATGGGCCACTACCTACAAAACACCTAGTCAGTAAGTACTAGCTTGATTTGCTTTATGAGGCTGCTATTTAGGAATAGTATTAGAATGCAAAAACAATCTTGCAACTTTGATCTTGAATCAACAAATGCCCTTCACAAATGTGGTGTTAATTGTAAAAGGGGAGAATTGGAAGGAAGTATATCAAATTAAATTTAATTATAAAAAAGTACAGAGAAAAAAAATATTGGGTAATTAAGTTCTTAATTTTGATATTTATTTGTATCTAAGTACATTATTTGAATTTTATTGATTTTTTTGTGACATTTTTACCCTCCATTAATCCATGTGTTTTTTCTTTGAAAAGTGGTGCATTAAATATCTCTTATTTTTATGAAAGGACTTTAATACATGTATATATAAAAACGTATATATATATATATATATACTTGTTGTTAAATCTCTTATTTAAATTTTGAATTATTTTTAATGCACCTTGATTCATACGTATTTTTTTTTTTTGAAAAGTGATTTTGTTTTTAAATTATATTTAATACACTTTGACGCATACGTTTTTTTTTTTGGAAAGTGGTTTTATTTTAAAATTAATTTAATATCCGAATAATGTAACAATAACAGTGTTACAGTGTAATAATAACAGTGTTATAGTATAACAATAATAGTGTAATAAACTATTTACACAAAATATTATATTGTTACATTTTGTCAAACATATAGTTTTATATAATTTTATTCAAATTAATTTATCTCCGTTTTGAATTTGTTACCACATGCACAAAATTACTGAACACTGTTTTTGTTACACTGTTATTGTTACACTATTACAATATTTCGATATTAAATTAATTTGAAAATAAAACCACATTCCAAAAAAAAAATGCATGAATCAAGATGCATTAAAGATAATTTAAAATTTAGATAAGGGATTTAACAACAAGTATATATATATATATATATTAACAACATACATGAATCAAGCTGCATTAAATGTAAAAGATTTTAAATTAAATGACCCTAAAATGAGCATTTATAACTTTGTATCTCAGCTATGTACTTTTTTTTAAAATATTTTGTTCTATATATTTTTTATCAAATAAATATAATTAAGTGTACCGATTTCTAAAAAAACCCTCGTAAAAAATGACATGCAGATACACCCAAGTGGCTAAGGATCTGCGTCAAATAGTGAAAAGTTGTGGTTTCAAACCCTCTCCCCAGTAGGGTAAAATACCATTATATTAAAAAAAAAAAAAAAAAATCACCTTCTACGCTTTAGGTAGGTATTGCATTAACTAGAAAACTCTTATTTTTATAAACATAATATGAGATAAGTGAATTTAACGTGTAAATGAATGTTTATAATCTTAAATCATTAAAATCTATATTTGCACAGTATTAGGAGTTGAAACATGCATCAATTAGCTTTCCAAGGAAGGCGTGAATAGAAAATAGTGAATAGGAAATAATTCATAACGTCTATTTTATTTCACACCCGTTATATAATTATCTTTACAATTACAACGATTGTACTGCTAATATACATGCACAATCGAAAACAATTTGTACATTAACTTTATAGAAAATAAATAGAAAGAACAATAAATATTATTTAGATTACAATTTGGACAAATTACCATGTCCAACATTATCCCAACTTAGCTACTACTCGTGTTAATTTGTCTAAAAAGGATATGCCTCTATAACTTGCACAATCATCTAGTATAACTTTTACACAATCTAAAGATTCTTGCCACATACCATTTACAAAGCATTAATCACAAATCAATTTTGGTCAAGTTACAATCCCAAAAAGCTAAATTACCACAAAAAATTAGACTTAAATCTTAAATGTTAAAATCGACCACAAAATCATTGGTCCAATGATTCCATCTTATTGTAACCTCACAAGACTGAGTGTAACCTCATATCCTTAATTTGTAATAACTTTCACAACAGTACAGAAACACAACTCTTCGGTAGCGTAATCTATCCCTAAATAATAATATGCGGCCAAACAACATTAAAAAAGAAAAATCAAAAACCAACATCATACCATCTCCTCAAATCAATGGACTTCCAATATCAAAATTGTTAACTGCAAAATTCTTTCCACATCCTCACCACAGACTTGAGCCTATGATGTGGCGGTTTGGAAAGCAAATTCCTAGACGCCAAGAAGGTATCAAATCCAAAAGGTTCCCAATTAACAAATAAAAAATATTAATGTAGAAATAGTGGGACAAATTTAAGAATCAGCAATGGTAACCTCAACCTCAACACCAGGTTCAATGGTAATTGAGGTAATCTGCTTAACCACATCTGGGGAGCTAAAGAGGTCAATCACTCGCTTGTGGACGCGGAGCTCAAACCTATCCCATGTGTTGGTTCCTGTCAATCAAAAACCCAAAAAAAAGAGTTAGTAATGCAAATCAGACTTGAGTTCATCCATATTCCAGTCATGATCGTCTGCATTATTCAAGTTGAACAAGTGACCAACACATCAAATACACTTCTACATTTACAGTCAGGTTCCAGCCCCTATAACCCTTCAATTATATCAAAGTTTGGCACAATACTTATATCTAATATCTTTGGGAGAGGACATATTGCTGCCAAATATAATCTTTGAAACTTAAAAATGCTGAAAGGACATTAACACAGATCTATTTAACAATACACAATAACTTTCAAATTAAAAAAACCAAATGAGATCATGCCTGAATTAAAAGTCTGGGCAAACTTCCCAAAATAAACAAATGAGTAAATGACAAACACCACTGCAAAGGAAGCAAAGATAATCACAGGCAATATAAACATTTCAAAACTCCTTAACAAAACTTTATCTCAAATGCAGGTTCCAATTAGTTGTAACCATCATGAAAACTGTGATCTGGTCCAAGAGTTTGAAGGTCTGCAACCTTTATATTCATTGTTCATTTTCTTCTTTTTGGTAGGTAAATTTATTCAATTACTCAAAACAAAAAAGGGTATTACAATGAAAGTCAAAACAGAGGCGAGTAATATACAACCCAAGAGAATTGGTACACAATACAATTAACTCATCACAAATCAAATGATACATCTTCTACAAATGGGTCCAAAACTCATCCGGTACAAGATAGTACCACAATCCTACATGGGATCAATACTGCAAAGCACTAGATGTTCAACTGCATTAGTAGCTAAAGCAAAGGTTCAAGACCAGTCCCATGGCTGCAAAAAAATGTGTCAAAGAACAAACTTTTGGGACAGCCTCACTGCCAAAAGGTGAGAACACAAACCCAGACATCAGCTTTATTTATTGCCTACACCAATAGCTGCGAAACTTCAAAAAAAAATTCCTTCTAAGACTATGATGACTAAAATTCCCTCTTGGAGATAAATAGTCCAAAGTCTACAATCAGTCATTATAAGAACTGACTGATTTAATCCTACTTTGAACATGTAGGCAATCTAGAATCTATATTAGGTTCAATTTTACTCAAAATAAAGTCAAAAATTTCATTCAAAATCAAATCATAACCAAATCTGTAGTTAACAAAAACTATGATTGACTTAAATTCTAGTTCGGAAACGAAGGCAGTTTGACACATAATACTTTCATTAGATTCAAAAGGGTATTCTAAACAAGGGATTGTGATTAACGTATCTATACTATCTGACTATCTGAAATGAGCCTAGCCTAAATAGATAAAACTCATAATTTTTTGTTTTATGAGTGAAATGTGTCTTGATAAAAGTTGAAATGATTAACAGAAAGAGATTACTAAAAACAACAAACGAAAATAAAGGATACAATCCTATCCACTTGGAAAAATGAAATTAAGAAGTAAAACAATCATCAAACAGCTTAATAGTTAAAAGGAAGACAAGCCCAAACTCAAAAAAAAAAAAAATCAGTTTAAAAATCAAGTCAAGGAGCTACCCGCCTCGCCCAAGAGTGGAGGGGGGGCAATTGAAATAACTCCGCTTGCATACATATGTTAAAAGGCTCAACATTTGTAAAATGATACATTGCCCCCTTAATTTTTAAGTACAATGTATAATAGCTAGATCTTTTCAATATGCGGTGGCCCATTGCCACTAAACCAATAAAACAGATGTTTTATTTTTGAACCAACTACAAAAGATGTGAATGTCCTAACTCCTCACCGTATATTGAGCAAAGACAATAAGTACACTTTATGCACTGTCCCTATTTTAAAAATAGTTACAAACACAGTTATCAAAATCGTATGATTCAGTTCGATATAGGCAAAACATGATTCGTATCTTATATGAGAATCGTTTTAGAGTTGAATCACACCTAGTTCTTGTACGATTCGATTCGTATTGCACGAATTACATGAATCGTACGATTCAATCATTTTTTTTTTAAACCCAAATTTTTGACAAAACAGAATCGTTTTATTTGCAAAGGATTTCAAGCCCTAAAAAACACTCAACTTCATCATCTAAAGCTCACCTTGCATTGTCTAAGCTAAAGGTCACGGCTAACGCTCTCGCATTATCGGTTGATTTTTGCTCTCAATTCTTTCGTAGATAATTTGTTAGGCTCTAATTTTTTATTTCAAAATGTTCACCTCACCTGTATGTTTTCCCCCCAATCAATTTTTTTATTTTTTCTTTTTTCATTCATGTTTGTAACTTAATCTATACTAGATGTCATTATTTTAGTTCTTGAATAGCTATGGTTCTTTAATAAATTTTTTTTTTTAAACTATTAAATTTGAAAATGGTTAAGTAAAAGATGAAAAAAAAGCAAAAGGCTAAAGTCTTTCCATTTAGAAGTCGTGATTATGTCAATTGATTATTTTTAAAAAGTAATAATGTTCAATATTTAATATTTTGTCTATTTTAAATGGGTAGTATTATTTTTTATTTTTGTTCAAATTTTGTGTCGAATCTTACGATTTACGACTCCCAAATTTAAGATTCTAATTCAAAATAAGAATTACGATTTGACAACTATGGTTATAAAGTTGACCTTCACTTTTTTTTTTGGTAATTTAGTGGCACGTAACATTGTAACACATCTAAATGCAAACAGTAAAATATCTTGGCCCAAAAGTATTTTTGCTTTTCCAAAGAAATAAATTCTTAACAAGATGAAAAATGATCTGAACTAGGCTTCATAATAAAATGAAGGATGAATTAATGAAAAATTTAGAAGTTGAGCTAATCACATATAGACAGTTTTTGGAATATAAAAGAATGTCATGTTCCACTTTAATATTACTAAGTGAAAACATACAAAATTAAAATTATTTTGTGCTTTTTGCCCATATTTTGGTGAGGTTGATTAATGGCACTGATTTTATATTTCAATTTCCATATATTTCTCTTGTTTGAAGTTTAATTTTTTTTATATATATATTTTGCCCCCTATCATATGGAATCCTCGCTCTGCCCCTATATGTAGATGTCAGCAATGCATTGCATTTAAGCACAACATCACATTAATGAAAATAGGATCATCCTATAAATAAGCAGGTTTCAAAATAATTACCTTCACCACATGGCGACTTCCTGGTAGTGATGTGAAGGACCTTGGTTGGAATCCTCACTGGGCCCTTGACCCTGAGCTTCTTCTCTTTAGAACCTCGAACCAAATCCGCACACACTGTTCCATTACCATCAAATCAACACACCAAACTATCATGTATAAAATAACAAATGGCCACCATCTAATAGACTTCCACAATTGGTAAAAAGACTCAAGCATCAAAGAAAAAAAAGCCCTCATGTTCATGACACCAAAGCACTCTGGAGCTTCTTATACTCTGATCTAAAGCTCAATATGTTATAAATGGCATAAATTCATTATCTTCCAAAGATTTCTAAAGTGTCATGTGAAATTGTTTGATTGAAATCATGTAACCTCCTTCTAATCAGCGTTTTGCATGTTCCAGTTAACAGAAAAAATTTGACATGCATATGAGCACCCAGCCAAAGGCACAAGCACATAAACAATCGATGGGGAAGAACATGCCTAAATTACTTTGGCAATCATGCAAATTAGTTAAACATTAGAGAAAATAATCTTTTCCGCTAACGTAAACTAGAGTTTATCAGCACCAAAAAAAAAAAAACAACAGTATCAAAACAACATAAAAACAAACAATCAAATAAATGGTAACTGATGTCGAATGAATTATATTTCACCACATTAAAGAAAAACAGAGCAAAAAATTAATATCAACTCCCTTAGTGACCCAATCATACAAACTCGGTAATATCCAACTTGAGAAAAGTGGAAGCAAAGAAAGAGACCTTTCTCGAGGTTCTTGACGTTCTTGGAGGAGAGAGTGATCCTGATCTTGTGGATCTGCTCCTGGGGTTCCTCTAACCCTGGCTTCGTCGGCTTCATAGCTGCGTACGCCATTACTGAGAGAGAGAGAGCGAGCTTGCGGCTTCGAGGTTCCACTGTCGTATATATATGTTACGATGAGAGTTGAAGGTTAGGGTTATTATTTGGGGTCCATGGGCCGGTGACCTGTTCAGCCCGTCAAGGAAGGCTCAAAGTTAAGGCCAGTATAGCACGGCCCCAAATTTATAGGATTATACCATGGTCAATAATATATGAGCAATGGTATATGAAATTTAAAAATAGACTTAATAATCTTAACCATTGATTTTACTATGAGTCCCAGTATTTATTGCGACCTACTACCTATTCAATAGTTGAGATTATCAAGTTTAATTTTTAAGTCTAATTTTTAAGTTCATATAACATTACTCATAATATAATAAGGCCACAAATAATATAATTTTAAGGATTTTTTGAAAGTTGGTCCATAGTTGTGTATTTTTTGAACAAGAAGAATATGTGTGTTCTTTTTGGGACTTAATGGACAATTAAAAGTATAAAGATTAATTTACATTTAATGACATAAATAGATATATTACAAAATGGATAGTAATAGTAACGNTAATATATGAGCAATGGTATATGAAATTCAAAAATAGACTTAAAAATTAGACTTAATAATCTTAACCATTGATTTTACTATGAGTCCCAGTATTTATTGCGACCTACTACCTATTCAATGGTTGAGATTATCAAATTTAATTTTTAAGTCTAATTTTTAAGTTCATCTAGCATTACTCATAATATAATAAGGCCACAAATAATATAATTTTAAGGATTTTTTGAAAGTTGGTCCATAGTTGTGTATTTTTTGAACAAGAAGAATATGTGTGTTCTTTTTGGGACTTAATGGACAATTAAAAGTATAAAGATTAATTTACATTTAATGACATAAATAGATATATTACAAAATGGATAGTAATAGTAACAGTGACGGTAACAATAACAATAAAATAGTACCAATAACAGTAATAGCAATAGCAATACGATAATAGTTATAATTATTGTCACAGTAACAACAATGACCATATAAGTGGGATGTAAAAGGTGATGGTCGGGAATGAAGGTGTTATGGACAATGGTTGGACTAGGGCATAGGGTGGTGATGGACTACACAATAACAATAATAACATCAATAGGATTACAGTAACAATCATAGTCATTGTCAAAATTCTATGAAATTAGACAGTAATGTGAACTAGATAGTCGCATGATCACAGTAACAACCACATGATCACAGTAACAGATATAACCATAATAAAACGGGTCATAAGTTTAAATAGAAAAAATAATCTCATAATTTTCCTATCCATATCAGAATAAATTCAAGATCAATATATCAAAACAACTAAGTAAAAGTGGAGATCTAGAAAATCTTTACACAAAAAAAATAATAACTTTAGCTCATGCATTTCATTGAACACCATTTGGGAATAACAAATAAATTGAACAATATCACAAAACAGAAAATTTAAATCGTTGTAACGAAAAATTATTAAATTTTAACGTAGTTCCTAGTTTTAAAATATACATACTGTAATAGTAACACCACAACCATCAAATACAAAAAACAATTGTCGCCAGCACCCTCCAATTCCATAAAAATAACATCAAGACTATGCACCATTGGACAATTGGTGGCGCTAGGCTAGCTGGGTGGCAATCAAGCAAGGGGCAGTGTGCTTTTTGGCTAGATTGAATGGATAGTCAGAGAGAGAGAGATACAATGGTGAAAATTTTGGTACTAGACACAGTAACCAGAGATTGGATGTTGATACCAATACCGGTAGTTATGGTCCAAATCGTAGTCCTTCGTTACTTCGTTTCCAAGCTCATGTCAATATGTGGGGGCGACAGAAGGTAGAGAAATTGAGAAAGCAAACCCTAAAACCAAGAAAAGTTATTGAGTCCACTGACTGTTCTTCTTTAGTGGTGTTTGGTTTTGGTTCTTTAGATCTTGAGTCCAAGGTGGCGACAGTGGCGAAGCACAGACCATGGTGGCTCCCGTAGGAGCTAACGGATCTGGAGGATCGAAAGAGATTTGGTTTCGAGGAGTTAGAAATAATTTATCGTCGACTGTGGAAGCAACATTGACGTCTCATAGGTAGTGCGATTGAGGGTCGTGTGCTCGATTGAAGATGTCATAGCTATGATACTTAAAGGGCATAATAGGAAATAATAATAATAATTAAAAAAATAGGTCGTTAGACCTACTTACAAAAATGTAAATTGTAAAATCCAATAAATTTAAACTTTTTACAAAAAAGGTAAAACGGTAATTTATCGTTACAGTTCAGGTTAAAAATCTAAATTTTTCTAGATCTCGGATGACAAAACGGACCTCACTGTTGGATTCGTCTCGCGAAATCTAGTTACCTTGTCAAATTTCATCGAATTTTGAGATAGTTAAATTTTTTACATTTTACGAGACGGTCGAGTCTCGGGTGATCCAAAAACGAGATTTTTGATAAAATTTTAAATTTTAAAAAATTATTTAAGGCAAATTAAAATAAAATTATTTTTAAACTTGAACCGAGATGAAATTTAATTGTTTCGGGTGAAAACAGACCTGAAAAAAAAATGGGTTGTGTGACACATTGTAGGCCAAGTATTCTAAGACTATAAATAGGGGAGAAAATATGATTTTCTCCCCATTTCTTCAGCCGGTTCCAACGTGAGAAAGAATAGAGGAAAAAGGCTTGAGTTCTCCACCTTCTCTCTACGATCTACGGAGATCGAGTGCNTACAATGGTGAAAATTTTGGTACTAGACACAGTAACCAGAGATTGGATGTTGATACCAATACCGGTAGTTATGGTCCAAATCGTAGTCCTTCGTTACTTCGTTTCCAAGCTCATGTCAATATGTGGGGGCGACAGAAGGTAGAGAAATTGAGAAAGCAAACCCTAAAACCAAGAAAAGTTATTGAGTCCACTGACTGTTCTTCTTTAGTGGTGTTTGGTTTTTGTTCTTTAGATCTTGAGTCCAAGGTGGCGACAGTGGCGAAGCACAGACCATGGTGGCTCCCGTAGGAGCTAACGGATCTGGAGGATCGAAAGAGATTTGGTTTCGAGGAGTTAGAAATAGTTTATCGTCGACTGTGGAAGCAACATTGACGTCTCATAGGTAGTGCGATTGAGGGTCGTGTGCTCGATTGAAGATGTCATAGCTATGATACTTAAAGGGCATAATAGGAAATAATAATAATAATTAAAAAAATAGGTCGTTAGACCTACTTACAAAAATGTAAATTGTAAAATCCAATAAATTTAAACTTTTTACAAAAAAGGTAAAACGGTAATTTATCGTTACAGTTCAGGTTAAAAATCTAAATTTTTCTAGATCTCGGATGACAAAACGGACCTCACTGTTGGATTCGTCTCGCGAAATCTAGTTACCTTGTCAAATTTCATCGAATTCTGAGATAGTTAAATTTTTTACATTTTACGAGACGGTCGAGTCTCGGGTGATCCAAAAACGAGATTTTTGATAAAATTTTAAATTTTAAAAAATTATTTAAGGCAAATTAAAATAAAATTATTTTTGAACTTGAACCGAGATGAAATTTAATTGTTTCGGGTGAAAACAGACCTGAAAAAAAAATGGGTTGTGTGACACATTGTAGGCCAAGTATTCTAAGACTATAAATAGGGGAGAAAATATGATTTTCTCCCCATTTCTTCAGCCGGTTCCAACGTGAGAAAGAATAGAGGAAAAAGGCTTGAGTTCTCCACCTTCTCTCTACGATCTACGGAGATCGAGTGCTCGGATTCACTCGGGCCAAGAAGGAAAGTTGTTCTCCTCGACGTGGGCTACAAAACCATACCAAGAAGGTCGATTTTGGACAAGATTCCAAGAATGAGATTTTTGGGAGGAGAAGATTCTAACTTGAATCGGATTCTTGGAGCTTCCCAACGTGTTCTTTACGCTTCAAGAGGTAGGGTTCCTTCCTATTTAGGTTTATTTATAACCTAGGGTGTTTATATGTAATGGGTGAATTGATAAAATACTATATCATGTCTTTATTATTGTGGACTTGGTGAAATGGGTAGAGAAAAGGGCTAGAATAAATTCTAGTTTAAGTTAGGTATGTGGAAATTACTGATAGTGATGTTTGAGTTATGTGACGAAATGTGGGCATGCTAAGTGTTTACTTTATGCCTTAAAAATTGGGTGTGTTGATGGCACACATTGTGTGAGAACACGTTTGTGGTAGTGGTTGGACATGAAGGTGATAATATATGATATTTGATATATTGGCATTGGTATGAAATCGGTAAGTATATGCTTTGGATATAAATTATCATGAAATATGTTTAAATGTGGTTAATTTTGATCATGTGGCATTTCTCTACACATGGGCATGATATTAAAATAGCAACAAGGCATTACATTGCATTTGCACGGAAAAATCACATCCATAGTCATGTGTGTAGGTGTGTGTGNTTGAGATAGTTAAATTTTTTACATTTTACGAGACGGTCGAGTCTCGGGTGATCCAAAAACGAGATTTTTGATAAAATTTTAAATTTTAAAAAATTATTTAAGGCAAATTAAAATAAAATTATTTTTGAACTTGAACCGAGATGAAATTTAATTGTTTCGGGTGAAAACAGACCTGAAAAAAAAATGGGTTGTGTGACACATTGTAGGCCAAGTATTCTAAGACTATAAATAGGGGAGAAAATATGATTTTCTCCCCATTTCTTCAGCCGGTTCCAACGTGAGAAAGAATAGAGGAAAAAGGCTTGAGTTCTCCACCTTCTCTCTACGATCTACGGAGATCGAGTGCTCGGATTCACTCGGGCCAAGAAGGAAAGTTGTTCTCCTCGACGTGGGCTACAAAACCATACCAAGAAGGTCGATTTTGGACAAGATTCCAAGAATGAGATTTTTGGGAGGAGAAGATTCTAACTTGAATCGGATTCTTGGAGCTTCCCAACGTGTTCTTTAAGCTTCAAGAGGTAGGGTTCCTTCCTATTTAGGTTTATTTATAACCTAGGGTGTTTATATGT